CACACTCAGGCGCTCAGGGTGGGCCGCCCGCCCAACACACCTGCCCGGCGGGTGGGCCTACCCGACACACTCAGGCGCTCAGGGCGGGCCGCCCGCTCAACACACCTGCCCGGCGGGTCGGCCTACGCTGCGCGTCGCAGGCGTTTTCGTTAGCCTCGCCGATTGTAGTATGCTTTACACTAACTTTAATGGTGCAACCCCTTTCCACCTTTTCCAAAAGAGAGAAACAAGTGTTTTGTAAGTATAATAATCATTCCTTGTCATAGGCGCGCGAGGTCATGGCCAAGAACGGCGTGGAGACGGACAACCTGTCGGTGCTGCAGCAGGGGGAGGAGGAGTGCGCGCCGCCCAAGCCGGGCGAGGGCTTCCACGGCGCCGTGCACCGCGCCGGGGACGCCATCAACCAGGGCGTGCAGGCCGTCAAGGACGGCGCCGTCAAGCTCTTCAACAAGGTGCGCGGGCAGAACGGCAGCGCCGAGAGCATGGAGGCCAACAACGGCAACTACACCGTCACCTCGGACAAGGACGCCGAGTGGCTGCCGTGAAACCTCAACAACGCGATGGGTTGGTCCTCACGGGCCGGTAACTTATTTTTGTCCAGAGAGAACGGAGAGATCATATCGACCATACCATGGGTGGGTCCTAGTGTCGAAGATGGGAGACACTAGTTCCTCTCAAAGAAACATGAATACATCCACTTGTACAGACTCCATCCATATTTTTTTCTAAAAAGTATATCATACAATGAAACAATGGTTTGTGTAAGTAATTTTTATTCCACTCTCTCTAAACACTATCACCCAAGAAACAACTTTGACAAACGATGCCAAAGAAAAAACATCACGCGCACACAAAAGAGGAATGTAAGAAAAACAGATGACATAAAAATACTGAAGATAGAAAAATCTATTCAACAGAAAAGGCCAAAAAAATAGAGATGACATATGTAATTGACAGTAGTAAAACAATAATATGACATTGACTAGATAAAATCAAATTCAAAATGCAATTAAATCAGTCAAAACTTTCTCAGTACCACAACTATTGCAACAGAAATACAAAACAAACATACTATTGCTGCAACAAAATAACAGGCATTGAAGAGCATCCTCTACTAATATATGCCATCTACAAGTCTCTCTTTAAATTGGCACTGCAACAAAAACTAACAGTCTGTCTCAACAACAAGTCAACTAATGCAAATCTTCAAGATTAAATGGCAAACTAACAGCCTACTTGGACTAGGATATGCAGTCGGCAGAAAAAAAGACAACTTACCAACTAACAATGACATGCGGATAACAAAACATAAAAACTTGGAATAAATCAACATAACATCAATAAAACAAGTTTCACAATGAAAAAGAAAAAAGTTGGAAACTATCAACAGAATTGAACCTCAATATCAATGGTAATGAGCAATGGTAAATAAACATATCACAAATATATTCATAATCTTTGGCCAGCAATAAGCTTATCAATGGCACTTAAGTACAAACGTTTGCACTCCATATAATCATTTACATCACTTTGGATGAGTAATTATCTAGAATCAAGCCATTAAATATGGACTCTACAGACAAAGACTAGACAAATAAAAACATATTGAATACAACAAAGCTAATTTGACTGATTAGATAGGAAATATTTTTGAGGACCTTTAAAAGGAAACAGATATTAACAGGTACACATACAGAGACCAAAGAAACAGAAACTTCTTAGTTTCATAAAGTAAGGTCTTGGGTTGATGCAATTGTTGCTTCAATCAACAGCCCAAAATCAAGCTCTGCAAGACTGGCTGAAATAGGAAAGGAGGCAGTAGAAATAAAAGGGAGAGGGATAGAAAGATAATCTGCAACAGCTTTTCAATTGCGTTTCAGTACCTTTAGCAGTCAGCAAATCCAAAAATGTGTCCAGAGGAGAGAGACGGTCTTGTGAGGGGAATGCTGCAAGACCTAGGGAAAAACAGTTTTAGATAGTTTGTAAGTGTAGCAGTTCACAGAGGGAAGAGTCACTGCACAAAATATTAAAAACAACTAATGACTAAAAGACTTTTACATACCTCGGTTCACAAGTGACTGGTATGGCTTCATGTTTGGTTGGCGTAATTTGCTTGACCGTGGTCCCCTAGCACCTTCTACACCACTGAGCACATGCAGGGCATGCTCACGGGCTCTCACCATCAAACTTGTGGGGTGTGACCAAGCATTGAGAAGACGTTTGGCACGAGATCTTGGCAGGAGTTGAAGGAGGCGTAATTTACGTGCACTGCCCTCAGGCGTGTCAGGTATATCTATGGTAATGGAAACAGGAAGTGAGTCATGATGCGTTTTACAATACTTATCTAAAATAATCAAGATTTTATTAGAAGATATGACAGACTTTACCTGACATTATTGCTTTCATAACATCCACTTGCAATTCAAAAGAATATGACAGAGAATATTGCATAAAAGAGCTAAAAGGTAAAGTTCTGTACCCCAAAAATGAGAAAAATGAAATGAAGCCTTGAGGCAAGGGAAAGGCCAAAGTGTCTGCAGCAAGCAGAAAGCGTTCAAGAAGCCAGAACAATAGCCGTCTTCGAGCATCATCCAATGAGTCACTGTTGGAAAAAAAAATTGCTAATTATGAAATCAAAGAATGTTTAAGAAAATAAATAAAAATTCTCATTCACCAACATACATCAAAGGAAAGCCACGGTCTTTTTCTTGTCGAGGATCAACCTTAGCAGCTAGACACAGCTGTCGGCACAGAGATCTTGACATATCAAGTTGAGCAGCAACATATCTAGTTGCAAGTGCATGAACATGTAAAGGTGATTGGCCCCTATGTGCGTGCTTCAACAGATGAACACTCAATTCTCGAAGGTTCTGGAACAGTGCCAAAAATAACATCCAAAAATTATATAGAGAGCCTTTGACCAAGAAAATCTCTTTGACACACTCTTTCACTTACCACAGATACTACCAATTCCTGCTTACTTGCTGCACATGAATCCAGCTCCAAAAAAGGCAAGCCATTTTCTTTATCCTACATGCAGAACATGCACACAAAATAACAGCATGCAACACACTTAGAAGGGCTAGTAATTTCCTAAATTCAGCCAATACTCAAGAAGACTACAGAAATTTCTTTAAATTTAGTTAAGTTTAGAGTATTATAAAGAAAATTGAGATCAATTTCCAGAAAATTAGTACACTTACCGTGCGGAAAGTATTATAAGGTTCACAAAAAGGACAGGAGCACAATTCATCCTCCACAACGCCCTGAGTTCCAGCATCCTGCATGCATGTTTCATAAGCATAAAACAGAATTTATCTACCAAAAATAAGCTAAAAGCAAGTATACTAAGGTTAATAGCTGGATTATGATTGACTAAAATATTTGCATTTGTGGCTCTACTTCCATTTTTACTTTTGGGAAAAAGGAAATTAGAATACTTGTGTGTTCATGCACAACTTTCAGTTTCTTGAGATTTTGTGAGAATAACTTGTTACTGACCACAGATATGACATGTTCTTGTTTGCTAGCAGTACAAGAGTCAGTCTCTTGAAATGGCAAAAAGTCAAGACCTCCAGTTTTCCTGTTGGCACCTGTTATTGCAATGACATCTGAGAATGCTGCACCAGAGCCAACAAAGTTTCCTCCTGGAGAGAGTGGAGTAGTACAACGAGAAAGAGCCTCTGGCTAAAATATTTCAAAAGAAAAGAATGAGAAGTTTGGCTAAGCAGCTTGATCAATATTTAGAGAAACAAGGATCCAATTTTAAAAAAGTGAAAGATATCACCAAGTTATTACCTGGTAACATAAGAGAGATACCATCAGCTTTTCAGCAACGTGACTTGGTCGGAAACGGGCGCCCGCTCGACTGTCAGTGCTGCATGTGGTATCTGTTGCTCGTTGTTGAGAAGCTGAAAGACTTTCATAAAGTCTTGTCCACATATCACTTCTGTATGGAATGAGACGCTGTTGAGGAGATAGTAGCATCATGGCAGTATTCCAAAGCGTTTCTTGTGAAAGAGTAAGCGTAGTATCATTCATCTGAGAGGGTACAAAAGAAAGTACGTCAGAATTCAACGGTATTATCATTATATACAAAATATCAATGTATTACATACATCATAACGTAACAGAAAACTTTTAAAAAACCAAAATATTAGAACTATTAGAATATTCTTACCTTGATTTCTTGACGAACGCCTGGTTGTGCAATTGTTAGAGGAAGGAGGGGTAATAATGCTGCAGCATCTGATGGCAAGTTTTTTCTGGCAGCAGCATACGCCCCACCAACCAAAATTTCTTGAAGAAGACGTGGTGTGCCCACCTCCATACATTGATTTGCAATACATCTCAACAACTGAAGTGATAAGATAAATACATTTACAAGGTGCGTAAGTTATTGTAAGAAATGCAATACAAAGTATGGGCTATGCGCTTACCTGCAAAAGTAATTCTCCATTCCCCAAGTGTACAAGAACATAGTGTAGAATAGAAAGTTGGTTAGAAAGAAGATAACATTTCTTTTTGTTTCCTGACACAGGTGCGCCATGAGGGCCCCCTCGGAAGGCACATAGCAAATGTGCTGGTGCAATAGATATAGGCACAAGATCTAGAGTTGATAGATCCAGCATGGTTACTGCAGGCTTCAAGCTGCTGGAGGTAGTCTCCTTGGCTCCATTTGTTTGGAGAAGAGGAACAAGACAGGCAGTGTCTGATACAGGAATAGTAAGTGAATCATTGTCAAATAAAATGTGACAACATGGCTCATGTTCAAGTCCAATATCTAATAGGTGAGTGAAAAGTCCAGGGGCATAAACCAACATGTGATGGTCTGAAAACACAAAATAATAATAATTATAAAAAATTTATGTTCAATTTCCTGAATTATATGACTTACACTCAAAAATTTACCTCCATAGAGAGAAAAACTGGGGCGCAACCTCCTTGCCACATTCCAGGAAATTCCAGGAACCACACAATGAAGCACGCAACCATGATGAAGTAGAGTGACAGAATATGCGAAATGGACATTGTCACCAGGACCTTTTTCATTGACTTCGCCATTTGAGTGACATCCAACTGGCTGTAAAACAAAAATACAAGTTATGATGCAACATGGTCAACATTTTGTTTTTAAATCCAAATATATATTGGAAGATCAAACCTACCTGGTACAAATAGTGGTGGCATATGCACACCATTCCTCTTGGGTCAGAGACTACAGTCAAGTCAAGGGAACAATCATGAACTCTTAGAGGAATTGGATCATCTTCATACAATGAGCACAAAGAACCTTTGGCTTTAGGCAAAAGGGGTAGATTGAGAGGTATGTTGAGCTGGAAAAAAGTGATACTTAAGTATAAAAAAAATAAATCAAGGTGACGTTTAAGCTTGTTAAGAGAAAACATATTATATATACCTACCACTGTTTCATGTGGCATGTTGTCATGAAATTGGAGGCCTGATAGAGTAGGAGCTAATTCACTTTCCTGTCTACGACCAGATTCAGTACTGGGACAGTTATTACCCATGTCATCCCCCTCAACAAGGCAAGCAGCTGGTTTACGAAAATGTATGTAAAATAAAGATTGATGAATAGGGTCCCATTGTGCCCAAGTAAAAGACCTGACAACACATTCAGTACTGGAGATACTTCCAGCTTTTAATATCTGAAAAAGAAACACAAAAAATGAGATTGAATAACACAAGAAAAGAAGTTTATGAGCAATGTTGGTTGAAAATACATACATGTTCATTCTCTGCATCAAAGACAGGCTTGTAGTGGTAAAGCGACACAGCTAGAAACAGGAATGTAAATATGTAAGCATAACGGTAGACAAGCAAGACAACAACACCAAAAATGTAACAGTATAAATAAAAGTAGTTAATTTACATTCATGGTGAATCAAGACTAGAAATCGATCTAAGTCTCCAGGTTGGTCTTTGGAGCGGTACAAAAACTGTACGACAATTTGTGAGGATCTCTCAATACCCAGATCTAATGGGGTGCTTGGAAGTTTGAAAGGTTGCGGTTGAATTTCATCCTCTTTTGCAGCTTCTTTCAGTTGAATCAAAAAAGCATGATAGACATCAAGTTTCCCTTTTTGACCATCACCGCAACATTCTTTTTCATCAGGATTTGATTCAGTCACAGTGCTTTTTGTGACATAAACTACAATGATATAAAGGCAACTTGTGAGCAGATTATGATCCAAACAACGCTTGAAAATTCCACTTCCTATCATTCTTACCCAAAGCAGTCTTTGAACTATTGATAGAAGCTTGAACAACATTTGTCAGTGTTTCAAATTGATACAACACCTAAAGCACAGAAGAGAGAGTTAGTTTAGTCTGTGAGATAGAATGCACATAAAATATACAAAAGGACAGGTGAAATATGAGGAAATTATAAAAATTAATTCACCTGTAGTTGCTTTTTTGGTCTGTAGTACAATCCAATGCATGTACATCCTCTTGCACTGTCCCCTGGGTTTGAGTGCACCCAGGCGACTAAGAGAGTTCCATCTTGTTCCTGGCCAAGAACTCGCCATTCACAAGTTTCAGCTAAAATACAAACAAGAATAGCAGTGAGCTGAAGGAAAGCTGATTCCACAAGATGTGTTGGTCCAATTCAGAAATAAATAAATGCCAGAGGTAACGTTTCATAATGAGAATAATTTTCTTTTAATATCTGCAATTGCACGTTATTAAATCAACTGATAGTAGTAAAATTTCAAAGTTATACATAATACGTACCACAAAGACGGTGGGCCACAATACCACTTAAAGTTCCAGCCAAGTTTTCCAAAACAACCATGTTCGATAGACTGGCATACACAAAAATTGTAACTGTTGCTCACACACACATCCTAGAAAGGCAGACAAAAAAGAGCACAAGTAAAATTCAGCAGAAACTGGTTTTTTTCATATTCATTGTTGTTATGTAATTCAGAATGAAACACTTGTGTTTACTTAAAGAGGATTGAACTGTTTATCTTTCTTGAGTGTTCTGCTAAGCTCAATGGGCATATACGTGTGTTCGAGATGTGAAATGGAACGAAATGAGGCTACTATATCTATGAGTAAGAAAAATTTACAATAACACCTAAAGCGAGCCGAACCAACGAGCGAAAGCCGAAGATCCCGGCCGAACTGCCTGCCTACCCACTCGGGTTATTTCTCAAGCACCAAGCACTCCGGTCCCACCTCTATAGTTCTAGCACCTCTTTCCTGTCCCTTCCACATTTCACAACACACTTGATTTGGGTGCATTAACCGGCTTGTCATTGCGCTTTTGTAATCCTTCGAACGATCGAGCCGTTTCCTAAGTCGCAGCGAAGGCGCCGTGATTTATCGATCGGTACTTACGTGTGGGTGAAGGGCACGAAACTGACAGCTGACGTTTGGATCTGGATCGCAGTACGTCGCACTTCATCGTCATTTGAAAATTACCAAATTTGGTGAAGATGGAATCTAAAGAGAATATTTTCCTGTTCGTCCCGAATTTGATTGGTGAGCTTTGCATATCCTTCTGTTTCGTTATCTTCACTATTTTCGTTTTGGCTTTGGGACATTAGTAAATGAAGAATTATTCCTTTTTTGAATTGGATAGATTGATTTATTTCTGCTGTTTCCTAGTGTCGTCCCTTTCTATTTTCCTACCTTTGTTTGATTTGTTAATTAAAGCCTTTTTGTCTGTGTCTTTAGAATTTCCATGTATCTTAACTGTATGTCTGGAAGTTCTCCAGTCATTGACACTTGTCGAGTTTAATGTCTTAGTTTTCTCTTGGCAATACATACGAGCTTATGAATGAAAGCGTGGTACCCTTTTACATAATATCGATCCATTTTTTTTTTTTCAGGGTATGCTAGGATTGTCCTTGCAATTGTGGCATTTTATTTTATGCCATCAAACCACATAATTGCCAGCTGGTGCTATGTAATCAGTGCTCTCTTGGATGCTTTTGACGGACATTTTGCAAGGAAGTTCAATCAAGGTTTGTATTTTTTTGTAATACTATCAAGTCATTTTTAGTTTGTTAGCCGTAACATGAATTTCATGTATTTGTTTTAGGAACCAAATTTGGAGCTATGCTGGACCAACTCACTGATCGCTGTGGTACAACAGGTCTGTTGGTGACTCTTGCCTATCTCTATCCGAGCTACATGTTCTTTTTCCAGATCAGCATTGCAATTGACATCTCATGTCACTGGATCTATCTGCACTCGTAAGCACAGTGCACTAAATACTTTACAATACATAAATTATCTTCTGTATGCTCACCATCATACGTTTCTTTTCTATTTTCAGAACAACACTTCAGGGCAAAACCAGCCACAAATTTATTGACATGTCAGAAAACCCAATCATGCACAGATATTACTCGGACCGCACGGTACTATTTTTAATGTGTGCTGGTAATGAAGCTTTCTTTGCTAGCCTGTACCTGTTGTACTTCACTGAAGGACCTTTGCGTAAGTTGTCTTGTTTATCGTTAATGGGAAATGTAATACTGTTTGGTTTGTTGTGAAGATTTATTTTTATCATTCTCATTTTCAGTGTTTGGAATCAGCCTCCTGAAAGTTATCCTTGTCGTCTCATGTCCAGTTATGCTGGTGAAAACTGGTATATCACTGCTCCATGGTTTTGTTGCATCTCTCAACCTTGCAACTATCGATGTGAAAGAACGTGAAGCAGCTAAAGCTGTGAAATCAGAGTAATTCTAATATTACTTTTGTTTCACAGCCATTTTCTTCATGTCTAGTTCTTTGCCTTTCTTGTCACATTTCTGTTTAAATGTCAACCTTCGAAACTTACTAACGTATGTCCCATTCGAGCATTGTTCATGAGCATGAGTTAATCGCAACAAGAATCACAGAATCAAAGTTCTGTTACATGTGATTCCATATAAGAAAATAATAAATCTACAGATATCTTCTCCAAGTGTAGGAAGCATACCACTCCTAATTTCTGTTTCTTTGTGGAGATTAACTCTTTTCATTGATGAAGTAGTCAATTAGAAGATTTAAATAGTATTGTTAAAACTTTGATCAAAATATTTTATGAACATAATAGTAATTAGATTACTATTCATACAGTTTATCAACATTGTTAGTTTCATTTTAAGTAGGTATGTGATCTGTCTCCTGTAAGTTTCTGTGTCATCTCCACATGGTTCTTTTTTGTTTTTAAATACAGTTAGCAGTCGATTTGCCAATGCATACGCAACATGCATCCCAAAGGAAATGGTTCTTTGTCTGTGATGCTTTCTGATAATTCATTCTATTGTGCCACATAGCATCTCTAACATCAAATTAACCTGAATTGTTGATGAAGTCTACTGCTTATTATATTCCATTTTTTGTGAATATTTTATCTAAGTACTTCCATTTATAGCTGGAAAATAGTCTGCATTCCATGTCAGCATTTTTCAATTCCTTAACCTGTTTATCTTCCCTTTTATCCTGATTGAATTAGTATCCACATTCACCATAGGTACTGATTTTATAGTCGACTTGTACACCATGCCTCCCTTAATGTACTTTGAATAAGTTTCCAGTAATCATTCAAATTTTGACACCAACCAAAGATTTGTGTTATGCTGCATAAAAACTGTGAATCTCATTCTGTTATTAATGGTTGTTACCTTGATTTCAATGGCCACTTAAGTTAAAAGTAGAGTCAATCTCTCTAACTTGCATTGTATATCTTTAAAAAACAAAGTAACTTCTGTTTTCCTTTGTTTGTGTTACTTAAATTTATCTTAATTTTTTGTTTTGTGACTGGCTACATTCAATTGCTCTAAATGTAGATCTTCCAACAATTGTGTGATATTGTTTTATTTTAAACCTTGTTACTTACTGGTAATGTTTTTTGTAGTGTTTAAGTCAACACTTTGAAGTAAACATGCGGACCGATTCCAAGTTTCACCAATTTACCGCTTCTTCTATGTTTAATTGTTGTAAAAAAAGCTGGATGTGCTTTTTGCAAATTCACCATCAATTTAACAAGAACATAGTGTTTAGAATAGCTTCCATTAAATGGTGCTATATTATTGTAAAATTAATGTTGTGTCTAGTTGCCCCTTACCTACCAGTAGATCAATGTTTGTGTGTCTGTTATGTTAGTAATTGCACCTTCTTTGTCCAAATCTAGTCACATTGATCTTTTGATCAGAGGTTATCTCTAAATACTGAGTGTTTGCAGCTGGCAACTTGTGGTTGATGTGGAAATTGGAAGAAAGATTGAGGGCTTACATTGAGTAATAAAAGTAATACATTCATCGATTAAGAAGCTCATTTTGAACTTATTTATTCCTCTTGACGGATGAAGGCAGGTGTAGTCTCTGCTTCATCTACACCTGAAGAGCACCAATTACATCAATGAAACTAAACAACATGCACTTGAACAAAATATAAACATTCAACTTAAAGGAAACATACATAATAACATTCAATCTTTACAATGGTAATGATGGCAACAATCAAATTGCTTAAGCCATGTAGTATCATGCTATATAACATACTATACGATAAATCTCTGGCTTCTAATAATTGTTCCATGTTTTAGTTTGACTGTTCTTTGCAGAACTACTTATACTTAAATATATACTAGAAGATTTCTGAACAATATCAGTTGAATGGGATTATGGAATCAATTTTTCTTTGTACAGTGCCTTGAGAAAAGGCACTTAAATACTCTTCATAAACTTAACAAAACCACATTTATCATTCAAACTATACATCACACAACAAACATAACACATTCACATTCAGTCTGAGAAAACAATAATTTAAAGCCATTAAATAAAAGCTTACCATCTTGTGAAGAGCCAATACACAAAAGGGTGAGTGCCCAACCAACTCCCTACTCTGTTCATGTAACACAAGTCACAAGACATTATTCTGCTTGACAAAACTCTTACAAAAATACTGCTCAATCACATAGCATATGGTCCCAATAATCCCGTGGTTCAAAAATATCCATTAAGAGTTTCTGTATCCAGTATGTACTCATTCCAAATCAAAATTGTACTCTTTGCGGCTCACTGGCATATCTCTATTCATAAGGCTTCAACAATTACAGTATCACACTTTTTACAGCCTCATCTCTCTCCGCTTAAAGAAACAAAAAACTGAAAAATATATCTGCCAACAGAGAATGATTGAAGACTTCTGTCTGTCTGGGCAAAACAATACCGAAGCAAGTACTTATGAGTTACTTGGCAACACTCACTAGGGCATTAAAATTTAGGAAAAAGATCTAGAAAATGTAAACTGGAATGAAAAGTTGTAAGATGAGACTGGTTAATAAACATGAAACAACTTTGGCACAAGAGTAAGAAGAATAATAAGCCTTGTCTTGTTTATTGCATATATAAGATGGAGCTGTGAGATAAATTATATTCTGTTACACACAAGGTCTAAGAGTGAAACGGAGAAATAGTTCTCTTATAAGCGTTCCATTACAGAAACATAATACTGAGGACTGATACGATATGTGAAAGAAGAAAAATACATTTCCTCCCTGTGACTAGATTTCCTTATAGTCATTTATGGAGGTCTACATAAAAGCTTAAGTTATTGATAAAAATATCAATGCAAGGAAAGAAAATAACATTTTGTGAACACTTTGAACTTATCAGAATACGTAGCAGAAAAATTTACAGAAGGGGCATGTAAAGCTAAGCTTTAAGATCTGACATAGGTGCGATGACATATTAACATTATGCTAAAACTTTCCAAAAATACTTCCTTTCCAAAATCACACTCAATTTTACTTTACATATTTTTAAAGAAAATACAATTCAAAAGGCATAAAAGAATGGGAAACACAACACAAAAATTTCTTCTAATTTAGAGAAGGCACTTTTCTACACTGGTCTGAGACCCTCACAATTTGCTTCTATAAACACCAAAAAGGGATGGAATGGAGCATGAGACAAAAGCTCTGGTCTCATGAATGGAAAGCTCATGGGACTGTCAGTACTGAATACAAATTTTCTTCATAGATATGAAAAGAAAACAAACAACTTGATAAAATTTGGGGGGAAAGGGGGATATCATAAATATTTCAAGTAAGACCATCTACCTTCTTTTATCCTGTTCCTTCTGACTGCCGCTTAGAATATATGTACAAATGATCTCTTGTAGAGACCATACAATATACTACAGCTCACTTTGTTACTCTGCATTTCTACACTATCGATCCTGTCGACGGGCTTTGTCTTTTTCTTGGTTTGCTCTACGTTTATTAACTTGGCGCTTGTGCTCGTACTCAAAATCTTCTTCTGTTATACCCAGTCTCTGAATCTGCAAAATTGCAAAGTGACAGAAAAATATGCTTAAAAGTGGTCACATAACATGTACGATTGTAATACTGGATAAAATTTTACCTGTGCCACCACAAATTGCTCTTCCATGACATGCTCTGGAGGACTTCTTAGCACTTCCAAAGTTTCATACATAGTTGGACACTTCTTCAGAACTCCTGATCGGCCAAGGCTAAACTTAAGAACGACGAGAGCAACTTTAAAAATTATTTTGATGCCTTCACAAAGGAACATGTCCCAGATTCTTAAGAGTGTTGGCCATGGCAAAGTCCTGGTGAATACACATAAAAACCATTCTGTCATATACAGAATAGGTTCAACTTTTTGTTTTTTCTGTGGATAAAACAAAAACAAAATTAATTTCCAACAGTGCTTATACACTGACACACAAAAATAAAACATAGATATCATACCAAATGCTTGTAAACTGCTGGAGCAACCTTCTTTAGAATGCCAAAAAGAATGTCACCATCAACTTGAAGGGCTTCCTGTTAACAATAAAAAAAGATGTTACATCTTCAAAAATAAAGTGTGGTACTTCAAATTTTTACAAATGATTCAAATCCTCGTACCATTCCTTGACTATAGTAGCCAGACAAGTATTTGTCACATATGGAGACTAGACACCAGAATGCTTCCTCTGCAGGCATGTGCATCAGCAGGAAGGCGGCCAGCGGGGCTTGCGCTTGGCAATAACCGACTTCCGGGTTCATAATCGAAAAGGACTTGAGGACCTGGAACAAATCTTTCTGCCTATAAGCAGACAAGACAAGAAGATTAACATGAGTGATATGAGTGATATGAGTTACACTTTCAATCAAAATGACAAAGTGAGGCGAAGTCAAAATTTTCGCCCTCCTATAAGAAGTTGATTAACTAAACTGGTCCTGCCAGAGCCGCGTACTCACCCGAGGCCCTCCTGCTGCGCGAACATCTCGTGGTAGGGGAACTGGCGGTGGAGGTCCTTGCGGATGTCGTCCACCCAGCGCGGGTCGCCGTCCTGGAGCGCCAGCTGGGCGTAGAGGCCGCGGTGCTGCTTCATGAGCAGGTGGCCGCCGCAGAGGTAGAGCCAGGCGCGCGGCCGCACCGATGTGGGAATGCCCTTGCGGCACCGCTCGCGGACCTGCAAAGTAGTGGCAATGCTACAGGCTGGCCCACGGCGGACACCTCTCTGAACCCACAAACAACCCGCCTACGAACCTTCTTATAGTTCTTGTCCATGTACTTCTCCCAGCCGCCGATCATGGCCAGCCACTTCCGTTCCCGGCGAAGCACGACTACAGGGGACACCAGCTGCTTCCTGAAACAAGACGGGGACAAACTAAGTGTCAACACCAACTGCCACTACTACACCGCCGTACAACACGCTCGCTCATCGCAATTTCGTTCCACTCCCGTTCTTCTTTTTTTCCCCCCCGCGGCAGCATCGCAGTCGGAGCCACAGGGAAGCCCCAGACCCCCTGCCGCGCTAGCCTCTGGCTCTAGCCTCGCGCAGGTCGGCGAAGGGCCGCGGGTCGGCTGGGCCCCCACCGGCCCCACACGTCCAGCTCGGTTAGGCCCTTCTACATAAGGCGCGGGGCGGAAGCCATGCACGCGAACCGAACCCGCCGCCCAGCACGACGCCCAGCGGGCCCAGGCCGGCCCGAAGGAAGCGCAGAACGGAAAGGAAAAGGGAAATGGGGAAGGGAGGGCCGGGGCCGCAGCAGAGCCAGTGGCGACCAGCGACCACCCGCGGACTCCCACCTCGGTGGCGTGCCATAAGGCTCGAGGTGTACTTTACTTTTAAAAAATAAAAAAAATCAAGGGAAATGAATCAAAAATCAGAAAAATTCAGCAAAAATTTGGATAAAAACGTAACTTGTGAAAATCAAGAAAAAAACAAACAGGAAAATCAGTGTATTGGCTTTATAGTGAAGTATCCCTCGATGAGGCCCATGAGCGGCCCTTATTCACCGTTACAAGCAAAGCACCGGTGGCACGTGACCAGCGGCACTGCTGGAAATAGGTAGCAAAGTAGGGGTACTGTAACGCAAGTGCGTGGGACCATCGAGCGTCGCGTCGATACGCCCCACCGCGCGCGCGCCTGTGTGTTGTTGTTGTACCGATGTCAACTTGGATGCAATTTTCTCTCCACCACTGCAGAATAATTTGCACACTCGTGAGTTCGCCAGCGCCGCTCCGCGACCACAGTACACGAGCGGGGTGGGTCGGTAACCCGTGACATCACACCGCAGCCCGCCCAGCAGGGCTCGCGTTACACCTTGCCCCGGCTGGCCCCGGCCGGCCCGGCCTGCGCACAGCACAGAGAGCCGGTGTGCTCGGCTCGGCTGCAGCAAAAGGCTCGCGCGGACTCGTCTCAGGCGAGCGAGTCCATAAAACAGGCCCGTAACGAGGCGGTGCATCGCTGCACTTAGGCCCCCTTGCACTTGCAAGTGCAGCGCAGCGCCTGGCCGCCAGAGGTGGGCGGGCGGGCAGGGTAGGGAGAGGGGGG